GTTGATACTCATGATAATAAATACTTACAGAAATCAAGAAAAAAACAAGTAGTTCAATAAGTAATACGTCAAATAAAATCTACAGTAAATCGAACCTGAGCTCAGAATCATTTTCAACAACAAATGAAAAAAATGAAAAACTTAAAATAAATAAACTTACTCAAACTCCAGAAAATATTCCAGAACCTGATTACAATAACCCTATTTTAAGTTCAATGGCAGTTTTAGGAAAATTAATTGATGAAAAAAATACAAAAAGTCATAGTTTACAAATCGGTGATGTAATAAATTGTATAGGAGAATTTATAAGACAAAATCAAAAAAAAAATGGATGGATACTTTTAGAATTTCCAGTTCAACCTCTACAAATGGCATTACTTGAATATAAGTTAATGGGTAAGATTCCACCTTTTGGAAGAGAAATATGTAGACGTACAAAAAAAATATTCTCGTATAATTCCTGAATATCAAGAAACAGAAAATGTTTATACTCCTATTAATACTTATTTTTCGTATTGTATCAAAATTATAAAACACAAAAATGAAATTAATAGTGAAAAATGGAATGACTTTTGGCAATTTTATAATGAACAAAATTGTATTCAAATATTTAATAGCCTTTTAAGTAATGATTCAAATGTTAATAAAAAAGCTGCAAATTTTTTAGTGGAGATGATTTTAAATGGAAAAAAATAAACCGGAAAGTAATAAAATATTTACACCAGTGAATATTTTTGATATAGATAAGGATAATTATAGACCAGAATTTGAAAATTATGAAAAGCAGATTAATGAACCATCTTCAATAATAACTATTGACGATTCTAATATTAAAACAACAAATCAAATATTAGATCAATTTCAAATTATAAGTACAAATTTAAATAGAAATGAAAGTATTCTAACAAACAATACTAATACAGCATTATATTTATGTAATAAGTGGGAAGCTATGGAAAATAGTTATACCAACCAAATAAAAGATTTCTTAATTTCTAAAGATAACTTTTTTGAAGAAGTGATAGCAATCAAAGAATTAATAATAACTACAGTGAATCAAATAATACTATTTGATAATCCTTATATAATTAATTTAATAAATAATTATAAAAATAAAAGTCAATTTTTAACAAATAATATTGGAAAATTAGAACTCAAAATTTTTGAATTACAAGTCAATTTATGGGATGAAGTGGATAATCAGTTAGAAAAAAATAACAGAGTTTATAAAACATGCATTTGATCAACAAACTATCAATAAAAATAAAAATCATACATTAATTAATATCTATAAAAAACTGTTGGAAACGGAATTAGAACGCACCACTTCTACTTTACATTTCTTAAATAATTATTATGATGATATAAATCAATATGAAATTAAAGAATTCAATTTTTCATTGAAGATTATTGACATTGATGATGAAACTGATCAATTTCAAACGCTTTGTTTAAAAATAATTAACATGTTTGAAAATTACGTAAATGAAAATTATGAATTAATAAAAATTGATGAAAACGCATGGACTCAAAGTGTTATAATAGAAAAAAAACCGATTTATTAATCAAGTGTATAGAATCAAAGCCAGCATGATTTTGGATACAACATATTTGACTGATTTAACAAGAAATGATCTATACTTAGAAAAATTAAAAAACATTTACCAATTTAAAATAAATGATATTAACAACTTATGTGAACTATTAAAATATACAGCAGATGTTGGCAAAAATATTAAAGGAAACATAAGGCAAATATCCGGAGAATTTTATATTGATGAGTTAAGTGTTTTTGAAATAATTTATAATCAAATAAATCAAATTCATTCAAGAAACCATTTTAACATGAAGCAGTTAAATACAATAGTACATACACTTTTGGTAAAAGTCCCTTGTTTTAAAATATCAATACAAGATTTAATTGATAGATTAAATGAATTATGTAAAATACAAAATATATATCCAAACAATTGGCCAAAAAAATAAAGATTTTTATAATCAACTTCTTAAAGAAATATTTGGTAGTAATATAAGAATTATAGATTGGAGAGACTTTATAGTTCAATGTATGGAACTATCATATCCAAATATCGAACAAATACTATTTTATCGGCATTTATTCCAAGACTATGATGTAGGAAATGGGACAATTACACAAGAAAATTATGAAACTATCAAATTATGGTTTGAAAATGAATCAAATCAATTCAGTGAAGCTAAATGGTTATTGTATGACATGTATCAAATCCAAAATAAACTGAACTATAGTCATATGCTTTTAGCATTCTGTAAAGATAAACAACCAGAGATAGGCTTAGGAAAATCATTTAGTTTAATTTTCGGTTGGGATCCATTTGATTCAGAAAAGTTTTATATCAATCTGTCAAATAACCAACATGAAGGAACTGAAAATGATATGGAATATGACAATAATGACATTCAGTCAATTTATTTGCCCTATGAAGAATTTGTGTTTAATAAAAACATAATGACTTGGTTTTTAATTACAAGTTTAAAAATGTACATAAATTCTGAAAATCAAATTGGAAACATTGATATTTTAAATATTGTTAAATCAGTATTTGTACTCATTCAAACTAAACAATTAGAACCTACAATTATTGACTTGTTCCAAAATAATATAATGGATAGTTTGTACAATGCAGTATACAAATTTCAAACTAAAGAATTGTCAGAATTAGCTAAAAATATTGTAATGAAATATTATAATTCAAATATACACAATATTTAACTTTAATTAAATATTTTATTATTTAAATATACTTTACATACATCAAACACTTGGAAAATCAATGTTATTATGTGATATAATATAATCGAAAAAGAGCATAATTATATACACTCTCTAAAATTTCCAAATTAAATAAATATGTTATAAGAAGATAATAAATTTCATTAACCTTTGTAAAATATTTTAAATGTGCAAAATGGACTTTTTCTTTGTATATATGTTTTAATTTTCAAATCACAAAATATATCCATAAATAAAGAGATCAACGACGTAAAAACAAGAACAAACTGATAAAAAAATCTGCAGTGTTTATAAAACAAGTTTTCATTCATCTCACGCATGACATATTATAGTTAATTCATGTAATAGTTGTGTTGTTATTTAAAATAGTCATCAAATGAACATTACTTAGATTTAAAATAAAAAATTGAATTTGTTATAATAATGATAAACAAATAAAGTTCATAATTTGTAATGTATTATTATATTAATACAACAATTAGGTATATTTATCATAATTATTATTATTTATAATTTAATGAACTTGCAATACCAAATTTTAATACAATATATATCATATTATGATAATGTTAAATGCATAAAAGCATATGTAATTTTATTATTTTCCAAAATTTATCTGTGTGGCTATAGGTATTTGAATTATTTAAAAAAATGTAAATAACAATAACTTTAACTATGAAGATTCTTATGTTAAAAACATTACATTTTTACAGATAAAAGATTTTTAACAATCTGTACAGATAAAATTATAAAAAAAAATAATGAAAAAAATAATTAGCATAACGTATTTTACAACTATATAATGTTAGAAGAAATAATCCATTTAAAGCATACCTCTAAATATCCATAGTATATACTATATCCGTTATTACAGCAATTTTTCAAAATGGCAAATCTAATTTAATTAATCTAAATTAAGGGTTAAAGTTAAAGGGAAAATATTAATACCATGTAATTTGAGCAAAATATTGTTTTATACTGAATTTTTTATAGACATTAAAACAAGTAATTATATAATATTAACATTAGAGACATTAAGTAATAAAAACAATTGTTTTGAAAATCATTTACAACTAAAAAAAACATTTCAAAATTTGATAAAAATGAACAGATGTCAACCACACATGAAATTATGAGGTACAGAAAAATTAATTTAACAATGAATATTTATATTTTAAAGCAAACATTGATTATGATTGAGTACACTACTCTAAAGTCAAGATTATAAGTCAAGGTACAAGATTCTAGAAACGTATTAAGACAAATTGGCAGTTTGATGTGACATAAAATCATCAGCAACAATTATTATGAGAGACTACCAAATTATTAAATAGGTTTAGTAGGTTAAGGGATTTTTTTTTTATTTTTTTTGCCTAAGTTAATAAAAATTACAGCAATTGGTTAAGAAGTTATAAGTAGGGCCCTGGTTAGTATAATTCTGGAATTATATGCACTAAAAACGTATGAAATATGCATGCATTTATGCAATGGTTATCATTCAAATATACACTCAAAATATGCGAAAATATGCAAACAAAAATGCATGTTTATTATTTATTAAATGAATTTAATTTTAAAATGTATACAATTCATTAAATACTTAATATTCAACAAAAAATATACTTTAAAATATATCAATTGTATTTTATACATTTTATTGAATTGTATGGAATTGTATGTTGTATTGAAATTAAATTTTATTTTAACACTCACTCATCTAAACAAAAATCAATTTAAACAAATCAAGCGGGTTTATATAATATTTATAAAGTTACCTGGAGAGTTACTATCGTATTGGTACTTTTAGTAAACTTTATCTTGTCTTATTACAACACAAAAATCAAATTATATAACTGCACAATTCACGGAATTTACATTGGACATGCGCTAAGTAATAAATAATAATATTAATAGTTTCATAATATTTTTCTATATATGCATTATATTTCAGAAAAATGCTAAAATATGCATAATTTGAAATGTTCCAAATATGCAAAAATTTGTCAAATTTAATTTCGCATACCAACACTTTAGGTTCAGATTCAAATTTCTGTCTTACCTAGCTACTTTTTAGTTTAATACATAAAAATATGCAAATGCATATAATTCCGGGCCCTAGTTATAAGTATAATTAATCTCTACGGAACCAGTAGAACGAACACAAAAGGGTACATATACTGTCGTTATTAACGTAGATGTATGCATTGATTAGGATAAGGACACTCACTTTCCGATGGTCTCGAGCAGTTCGTAGACATCGTCGAAAAGTACTTCCTCGTCAGCCATGGTTTACCACTATAATTGTTCGACAACCATAACAACCAAGCAATGCTTGTGAGTTAAGTGTGTTTGTGTTTGTGTGTGTGTGTAATATGTGTTCGTTGGTCTTGATAGGAGACCCCAGGCAATGACGGTTCTAGAAGGTAACGAGTGGACAGAAATGATTCAACACGGAAGGGACAATCTTTACGAGGTTGGCGACGACGATGGACAGTCGAAATAGCACCAGGATGGACCGAAGAATAAAACCGACGAAACGAGAACGGGAGGCCGGGAGAAGAACCACAACAAAAACACGAGTGGCGCCGTCACCGCCACGACCACGATTCTCAAAAAGTCGAGTGAACCAACGAACGTGGACATCCGATGCTACTGGGCGCTGGCTGGCTTCAGCTGTGCCTGCTGGTCTGCTGGCTGCTCGGCGCCTGCTGCTGGTAGCGGTGGAGGTGGCCCGTCCCCGCCCTGCTGAACTTTGGGCCGTCGTTTCGGCACGAATGTCGCACCTAGGTTTGATGCCCGCGGCCAACTTCAACCCGGTGTCTCGCTGTGTTTTGGTTACCGCGGTCGTAGATAAGACTGTTGATAAGACGCAGCTGCTGCTACAGTAGTAACCAGTAGCTACGGCTATAGATAATACGCGATGTCAACGAAAACAAAACCGACGATGGAATAGTTAACGAGTTAACTGTGCTGATAACATTATCTGTTCTGAAAAGGAATGTGAATAAAAAAATAAAATTAATAATACAAACAACAATGTTATAACGGTGTCCAATATTGTAAAAAAGAACACATTATGTTGATATCAATAAATCTCCGCTACTACACTCATATTTGATGCACTGAGTTATACGTTCGATAAAGAACAATTAAAAGTAAATGCCCTCAACACTTGAGACGTCTAGTTCGTGGAAACTGCAGGGAATTGGTTTTGTGCTATATATATAGGGCCGGACGACTCAACAGCAGTTGACCACTTCACCGTACGTAATTTTTATTTGAAAATCACTTAACACACGCATTGTTCGAACTTTTTTCATGCGAGCGTACCGTCACATTTGATTGGTTTATTTATATATATATTTTTTTTTTTATAATTATGTAAATATTTAAGATGCACAAACAATTGATGGGAGCTTGTAGGCGAAACAGAAATAAAACATAAATGAACCAATGCCACTTTGTTCCTGTTAACAGTGTGATCTACATAACCTTTCAACACATCCTTATTGAAGGGTTGCGTTCATTCACAGTTTCATCACACTACAAATTGTATTTTTCGAGTTGACTGTAAACTATTAACCATGCCGTCTACAGATATATTTGAACTTTATAGTCCACTGTCACAAACCAACAAAAAACAACTGTAAGTGAAATTTTTTTTTTATCTTAGTATTAATCGTCAGCAAAAAATCAAATTAATTTTAAATAATTTTATAATTAGAGTTATTAGTATCAATTATTACAATTATAAATAACAGTCTCAATAAAGCGTGAAAGAACCCTATCTTGAATGTAAAAAAATGATAACTTCAATGTTTTCATCTTAAATGAAGTATATTCTAATTTTCCTATATGTGCAATCTATTTCAATAGGTCCAAATTAACATTACTTTAACTTTGAATAATGTTAAAGATAATGAATGGTTTATGTTTATCCTAAATTTATATAATTAGTGCTTACAATCCTACTTTATTTTAAATTTATAGATGTGTTAATTCTAATGTTTTAATTATTATCTCAAAATTTATATTACATAATATTATTACGTTATGTAATAATGAATAGCATTAATTTTGGTGATAAAATATATAACAAATAATAATTCTTCTAGACATTGAGTCAAATACATTGATGAATTATATTTATTTATTATTTTACATCTGATTATGTTTAATTTCCAAATTTCAACTTGAACTACAATACAGACCTTACATTGGACATACATAAGTTAAATTTACTTATCTACTTGAATAAAATAAGTAAAGTTGATATTCATTCATAATTGACTTAAATGGTATGTAAACATTTAAATACTATATGCTCTAAAAATATAAATTATTTGTTCTTATTTTTAAAATATTGTTACATATAAAATATTAGTATGTTATATAATTGGTAAAATATACAATTTGAATTATAATAATAAGAAGTCTTGACAAATGCATTTTATAGAATTAATGTACATACCTGGAAAATATAACACCAATTTATCAAGATAACAAAGTAATGTTTGTCAATCTAAGTAAAAATAAATTTAATCTATGCACTTGATAGTCAATTCTTCTAATCTGTGATCTAGGTGGAAAGAAGAGAAAAGGTAGGAAAAGATAACCCTACTATATTTTGAACTTCACAATTTTCATACTAACTAATACTTAAATACTAAATACTTAACTATTTTTTAAATTATATAGCCATAATAATTTAAAAATTGTAATTTGAAAATAAACAATGTTAAAGATTTGACTTTTTATTTTTACTACAATTTAAATTTGACCTATTAAATAAATATTTATTAAAAAGAAATACAACATAAAAGTATGAATAACTTTTTAACACTCCTACTTATTTTGATCTACTTACTAATATTGGTTATTTAACAATATAACAATTATATTAACTGCATTTAATATATTAATCAGGGGTGGGTTTTATCATTAACTAAGGGAGGGGCTAATGAAGGTTTAAGAATTTAGTTAGTTGGTTTTTTAAATCTATATAAAATTTTAAATTACGAAATATGTTTATGAGTCTCTCATAAGTAAGTCATTTTTTTCACAATAATGACAAAGTTTAAATAGTTACATTATTAGTATCAATTTTAATCTGAAACCATTTTGAAATAGGTAAATATACATAATAAACATAATTAACAACAAAAGTGAGCTATTTATTTTTAAAAAAATTTATATAGAATAGGTACCATATTCATCAACGACCATTGACGATATTTTATTATAATTATTAATATATAATAATACTTTGCTTTGTAAATTATTATAATCATTAATATATAATAATACTTTGCTTTGTAAAATAGATAGCTTAGTCCCAAGGGGAGGGGGGTAATGCTTCCTTAGCCACCCCCTTAAACCTGCCCATGATATTAATAAACATGATTCCATTAATAATTTACTTATTATAATTTTTTTCTCCTTGCAAGTATTTTGTGTTTTGTATACTATTCACATTTATGAACTTTGAAGGAGCCTATAAACATACATCCTAATAAGAAATCAAAATGTAATTTATCTCACAAAATGAGTACCTTAAAAATTTAAAATTCATCTGGGTATAAATTAAATTAATCTATTTTATAGTATTTCAAATAGGATAAATAGTTGCCTGTAATTTTTTTTTTTTTGTGTATATAATGTATTAAATTTATCTCATTACATTTAATTTATTTTTTTAATTACACAAAATGTAATTATTCTACTATACTGAATATTTTAATTATAAAAATATTATAAAATATTTTTTTTTTTTTTATAATCACATTTATACATAGGTGATCAATTTGTTACTATTAAACTAGTACCCAATAACTAGATAGGAAACTTGTTTTTTATAAATGGTAATTTTAAGTATTTTTATTAAATTAATACAATTAATCTTACATTTTTGAGTGTTCTTCAAAGTTACATCCTATTATCTTCAACTTAACAATACAAATATTTATTATTTGTGTATGTCTATTAGTTATTATTTTTTTATATTCAAATGCTAAATATTCATTAGATAATATTGGTAAATAAGTACTTGTTACTTACCTACCATTAATTACCTTAAATGCTGATATCTATACCTTTATGTTTATAATGTAGTCATAATGTATTGTAAAATGAAAGGGGGGATATATAGAATGTCTACAAATTTTAATATCTGTTGGTGAAAGTGGTTAAGTGATTTTATTCTAGTTTTTGCTCTTGGTCTTTTCCAAGGTCTGTAGCATGTATTGAATTAAAATGTAGTAACTCACATGTTTCTGTATAATATTTTGTTTTATCTTCAATTTCACACATAACTAAGGAGTAAGTACTTATTGCTACAATGATATGATTTTTATTTTTTTTTACTAGAAAATATTTTACATTTAGAAAATATTAGATAAATCTAAATTTAAAAAATACAATTCACTAACATAAAGACTACATAAATTAGAAATAAGTAATCAACTAACATATTATTTTTATCTACAAGAGAAGTAACTACTTGTTCACGTAAAAAATTAATTTGCACTGTAATTATTGAATCATTTTTAAAACATTGATCAAATATTAAAATTGTCTTATTTATTATTTTTTACATTTTCTTGATTATTATTCTTATTTTTAATTTCACACTTGTATTTAGTATTTTTGTAGCTTTTTTTTTAAAATTATTTTGTTATTTTCTATATAAAAGAAATATTTTATCAAAATAATATTGAAACCTTATAAATTAAATTAATCTGTTATTTTAAATAAAAACTAGAAATTCTAATAGTTTAAAAGAACTTTAACTTCAGTTATTAACTATTCTATAACATTATTTTAATCTTATCTTGCTTACAACTGTAATTGATGTACACAATTATGTAAGTAACAATACAATTATGAAATAGCAAGTGAAATAAATAGTTTATATTTTATATTAATAGTTTTCTTTTTTATACCTTTATTATTAAACCAAATTTACAGCTTTTTTTTTATTAAAATTTCTTAAAAATAAAATCAATTTTATTTAACTATAAAAATATATGATTCAAATATACATTTTTTTCTTATTAGTAGTTAATAACATCAAAGACGGAACTAGAAATATGAAATGGGGGGACTAATTTGTATTTACAGAAAGACAAAATATATTATATTCATATAAAAGTATATATTAGCTTATATTAATATATTTTAAAATTAAAAAATATAATTAATAGATTCATTAGTCTTTTGATCAATCTTCAATTTTGATTCGTCTTTGCTTTTGTTGAGAAAATCTGTTTATGACTTAATTAATGTCAATGGGTATTTCTTTATGAATATAAAGTACTATTAGTTCATTTAACCTGTCTTCTATCATAGATGATTTCATGTAATTTTTTCAATTGTCGTATGGAAGAAAATGATCTTTCAATTGTTGCTTATGTTATGGTAATTGTTGCTAACATTTGTAGTAAAATTTTAATGTTTGGATAGAATATATCACAATGAACCAATGTTTCAACAGTAGTTTTAGGGATTATGGGGTTTAAATTTCTATAAAATTTTAGATTAGGTACCGGGTATTGATATCAGTACCTCTTATTGGCTGTCAATATCGAAAAGAAGTTGTTGCTCGAACAATTATAATTAAACTAACATATTTAATGTATATATATAAAGACATATCTATTAAGTATTGACAATATACTTATATAATATATAACACGTCCAAAGGGGGGAGAGGACTTAAGCCCCTTAACCCGCCTTGGATTTGTGTCTGCATAACCTTTGATCTTAGTGACTAATATTTTATATATTCTATAATTGATCATAATGGTATATGTTATTTTGTATGCGAAATATGAAACCATTTTTAATAGACGTATTATATATTTAAACGCTATAATTATAATGAAATTTTCCAAAATACACATTTCACACTAAAAAACAGTTGAAATACAATTTCATATGAATATTTATATAAATACGTAAATAATAATATTATAAATATTATTTTAAAATATGTTATGTTTGATTTATTTTATTTAGAAATGAAAATCTATGTAATATTATATATGTTACAGTTTAAGTATTGAATCAGCATAAAATTAAAATAAATCAATAAATAAACAAATAATAAAAAAATAAAATAAACATAAGTTGCGCAAACATCGAGTGCAGATTTTCAAATTAAAAAAAATTAACAATGAAACATTCATTTTAATCAAATTGATCATTGAATCATTGATTTTGGCAACGATCCGATCGCAAAATGGTATCGCACTTGCACTAGCTTCGTCAAGTATTACAACTACGTTGTTAAAAGGCGGCACGGGCGTATTTGTGTTGAGGCCATGGGGGGGAGGGGGCGAAACTAATTTTTCTTTAATACAAACTTAAAAATAATTTACAGTTCATTACCTGCAGCTCATGTTCCTGTTATAATGATAACATATTATGGTGATAGACTAGTAATTTATATTCTTAATTATTTATACATTACATTTTTTAAATAAATCATTGTATTATATTCAAAAAATACGAGCCATAGGGAGGAGGCAAATCCCCCCTTCTCCCTCCCCCCTCAAATACGTCCTTGAAAGGCGGTCGAATAGATTATTCTGCACTCAAGTTCCCATTGAACATTCAAATAAATGTTACTCCAACTTGCAACCTTTCAAGAAATTCTGCGATGGCCATTGTTGCAGTAGAGCAAATTAGTAGTTTGGAATAAGATCATGATGGCACACAAAAGTTTTTTAGAAACAGACCGCACGTTGCAAAATTTATGAAATAACCAAAACCGGTTTGATGGTGCAATGATTTTATTGACAGTTGATTTTCGCCAAACACTACTAGTAATACCATGATCAACGCCAGCCGATAAACTTAACGCATGTTAAAAGTCATATATTTTACGAAAAGACGGTAGAACGTTCAAATTTATATGAATATGAGAGTCGAATTCCAGAACGACCAATCTGGAGAAGTTTTTTCCAAACATTTGCTCGACATTAGTAATGGCAAAATACCTGTTGACTCATCGTCTGGATACATCATATTTCGTACCAATTTTTTTCAATATACTGAAACTAAAACTGAATTCATCGAGGTTTTCTCAAACATTGCTCAAAATTACAAAGATCATGTACGGTTGAGCGAAAGCGATGTATTGGCTGCAAAAAACGTTGATGTCAACGAAATTAATTTTCAGATTCAAAATAAGATAGCTGGCGAATTAATGACATACTTATCGATTAATTCTTTACTAACCAATATGATGTCAACTATCCAACGTAATTTTTAAATTCGCTGGAATTGCTTGGATTACCACCTCATAATCTGCAATTAAAAATCGGGTCGGTAATCATTATGTTGCGGAATATAAACCAATCATGTCTTTGTAATAGCACCCAATTTGCAGTGAAGAAATTTAATGAACAACGTCATTGAAGCCACAATTTTGAAAGGGAAGTACAAAGGCGAAGACGTTTTGATTCCACGGATTCCTACGATTCCGAACGACATGTCATTCGACTTTAAACGGTTGCAATTTCCAGTGCGGCTAACATTTGCAATGTTGATAAATAAACCTCAAGGATCTAGTGACTAAGTGTGGCATCAATCTTGAAAATTCATGTTTTTCACATTGCCAGTGATATGTCGCCTGTTCCCGTGTCAAAATACCAACAAAACTATATACGCGCAAGAAAAAAAACTATGAATGTTGTATATCATAAAGCATAAGAATAATAAACACTTTTTTTATTAATTATACAAATTCGAATTCAATATTCATAATTAAGACAGGACAATGTCTGTCGAGTCAGCTAGTATCAGATAACATTTAACCATTATATATGACATACATACATATTCTGTGTACATACCTACTTTTATACATTTATTAATATTAGATTAATATTTTCAAATTAAGCTTTATCTTCTTATCGGTCATTAGGTTATCTTTTGTTATTCATTTGTGTTATTTTCTACCTTGTTGAGATAATTCTTAAACTAGATCAACAATACTGATGTATAAACAATCAATCTCATAATTTCATGTATTTTACACACAATTTTTAATTTTTGGAAATTATAATCATTATGGCATACTCTATGTTAATAAATGATGAAGTCTGGTAAGATAATCTTAAAACTCAAATTATATTGTCAAATAAATTTTAAACAGTAACTAATACTTATATTTACATAGGTATATATTGTGCTTATTAAAAATTGAAATTAATTTTTTATAGTTTAGCCTCTGCTAATGTATCTAATGGGTTAATTGACACGGATACTATTGAAAAATACAAAACAGTAATATTGACAGTAGTTTCAAGAGCAGTTGAAGCAGCAAGTACTATACTCGATCAAACTGGTGTAATTCAGGTGAATATAAATTATCTATAAAAACTAACCCATCATCATTCCTATAATAGTTAGTAGTTTCCGTGTGCTTTAGTGATTGCACGTACCTGACTTTTATATTTATTTATTTTATATACTGCGGTATGCTATTGAAGGTTAATTATTTCATTAATTTATTGTATTAATTATTATTATATGTATAGCACTACGGTATGATGTTGTAAACAAATTATTTAATTACATTTATGTATTTTTATTATTGCATGTGCCTACAGGAAACATTTATATTATAATTATATTATTGCCTCTTTCTGTTGGTAGACACTTGCCACCCCAACATTTTGATCCTTCAAGCTGGTTTTAATATATCAATTATTTCTTTATATATTGTTGAATAATTTTATTTTATATAAATTATATATATTATATATTCTTAGTGATTGCCTGTTTGAATTATATACACAGGGGTTCATTATAATTATTATTTGAATTTCAATATTGTATCATATAATTAAAATCATGGATGCAATAACCACATTTGTCAGCCAGTTCAATAGTGAAGTTAACACTTTGAGTCAGGTCCGTGTAAGATTAGAAGAGCTACTCATATTTTCAGAATGGTTTGAGGAGTACCAGCCAATTGTTGAAGGTCTCGATCAATCAGATGAGCTAAGAATGGAGGAACAAACAGTGTTTAAAGAAATGTTTTATAATGTTAAATCATCATTTCTACACATTTTAGAAAGAAACAAAAAAATCAGATACAACTAGTCCATCGTACAGCAGCCTATCTACTTGTGTAAATTCAAATACAATAAAATTGCCACCTATCGCTACCCCTAAATTCAGTAGTGACAAGCAACAATGGACGTCATTCATTAATTCTTTTAATGCAATGTTTCACAATAACTAAAACTTAGCACCAACATTTTCACTACCTTAAGTCTTGCTTAGAAAAGCAGGCTAGTGAAGTTGTTAAATCCATACTAACTACAAACGAAAAATATTAACAGGCTTATGATGCGTTTACATCATGGTCTGAAAACAAGGGTGCAATAATTCAATCACACATAACGACATTATTTGATACTCCAAAGGTTTCACAGCATCAGCTACTAAGTTGCAAGTACTTCATAATCACATTACATCAAATATTAATGCATTACAGGCATTAAGTCAACCAATTGAAAGCTAGGATGCTAGGCTGGTGACCTTAATTTGTAACCGCATATATAGCGCAATGATCGGAGAATGGAATCTTTAATAAAAAAAGAAAGATCTAACCAAGTACAAAGGAATCAAAACATTCTTATTTAATCAGATTGCTACCTATGAGGTAGGGGAAGTTAATGTTGATGTAACATGTATAATAAAAATCTTTTGTCAAATCCAGTTTTAAATTTAAAGGAAAAAAAAGTATTCTTCGCTAAACCTGCAGACAAATCAACTGCAAATCATAAATATCATTTCTGCAGTGAAATTCATAAATTGTATTTGTGTTAAAGATTTAATGATTTAACTGTAGTAGATTGTCGAGATACTATCGTATACAAAAGGATAATTGTGGTATCGACATTGGCATAAACAAGATTAGTATTAAATTTTGCAAATGATCTGAATAGTTGGTGATAATGAAGAGAGTGTGTTGCAGAGTACTTCAGCTCAATTTAATAAAGCAAAAGCCAAAGGTCTGAATATGAATGATAATAAAACCAAAGTGATGGAACTAATACTAGACAAAAACCAGGTCGACATTTTAGTGATTGAAGGTCATACATTTGAAAAAGTGTAACAATTTACATATCTAGAGCCTTCTATCAGTGGTAATAATGACTAGTCCATCGAATTAAATAGCCGAAACATTAAGGCAGAAAATTTATCATTTTCGTTAACCAAGTACCTAAAATCTAAACTGTTTTCTAGAAGAACCAAAGTACATCTCTATACGGCGATTATAAGACCATATGTTATTCCTAACATATGGATGTGATATATAGCCTTTAACAAACAGAATGTAACAAAAACTTCATTCGAAAATAAAATACTGAAAATCATCTGCAGCCCAGTATAGGACAACGAACTGAGATGCTGGGGCAGAAAAAAGAACAAAGAGATCTGTGAGTTTACAAGAGTTCCAAGAATAACAACTTTGTGAAAGCACAAAGAATCAAATGGTTTGGGCGCGTGATGTGAAGGTCTGACTCAGATTACCTTAAAGCGATGGTCAAGTGGAAACCCAGGGGGAAGAGATCAAGAGGGTGTCCAAAGAAACAATGGATAGATGGAATAAAGCAGGAATTTGTGTTGAGTGGAAGGAGGTGTCAGTGGCGGCAAAAACTCTTAAAGAGTTGTGATGCCAATGAAAAAAAGATCGTCGAGAATTTGTCTTAAAAAAATCGGTTATTTTTCAATTACTTTGTTCCAATCATTAAGCAAGTAATTGCAGGTTCCCAAGTTGTCCAAAATGTGATCAACGTTTTTTCACCAATAAAATAATATAATTTGCCTTCGACGGCAAGGCCCATCGACCTTTACACAATAAGAGCATATATGGTCGACCAATACTGTACTGTATTCGATGGTGGATTTAATCCCACGCGACAGCATCAGCACTGTGACTTTAACAATTGCCTATAACGGCACACCGCAGTATATAAAATAAATAAAAATAAGTCACAGCACTTGGTACGTGCGACCGTCAAAGCACAGTCACCAACGTAAATGAAAGTTCTACAGCACCAGACGAAGACAATATGAATGAAAATACGTTAATCACAATGACTGTTGGTAAGTGACCACTCTAGACACGGTGACTATGAATTGAAGGCAATGAAATTGCGGAGAACTACACTTACCAAATCAGCCGACACGAAATATAAGAACACAGAAAACGTGGTTAGTACAAGATGTATGTAATCTGATATGTAATCTGGAATCTATCTATTTCAGTTCACCATGAAATAATTTATAATATACAGTATAATAAATATTAATAAATACATTACTTTTATATGCAGTCCAAAATTTGTAGTGAATTTAAGAGATCCAGAAAGTATTTTATTTTTCTTTTTAACATATTGGCATGTCATACACAATACTTTTACAGCATAATCAGAACCATGAAAAGAACCAAGAAAAAAGATACATGATATTTGCATAAAATGTATCTTGATACTTTAAAATTATGTATCATGTACAAAATTCAATATACAGTATCTTTGATACTGCCCCACCCTGACACCCTGTCTATATTGCGAAAATATTATCCTGTGGAAATCACACATCTATAGCTCTTATATTTTTATAAATTTAGATTATAATAAGATAATTCGTTTTAGGTTGATACCATTGGCCAAAACTATTTACGTGTACTCTATGACACAAACCAAACTAATTTCTCAGTACTGATCGAAATTTTAAAAAAAATGGGTTACCTTGTGTCTTTTGAACCAGAAAATCAAACGAAGGTTACTATTGAAATAGAAGGCATGAAATGTAACTCATGTGTACGAAAAATCGAAGAAACTGTTAAAGAAATAAATGGCGTTATTAGCATTCAAGTATTACATAAAAATTTGTGTTGATTCTAAACTGTATTTCTATTTGGATTTTTTCTTAATTAGGTGAACCTCGAACAAAAATGTGCTCATATTTTGTATGATTCAAATGCAATTTCTGTTTATGAACTTCAATCAATAATAGCAGAGTTAGGTTTTACAGTACCAATTCATCAAACTACTACCGTGATCAAAATTGATGGAATGTCTTGCATGAACTGTGTGCGAAACATTGAAAGTAATATTTGGTTGTACCATTGATTATCGACTATTGTTTATGCTACACTATATGATTATCATTTAACTTGTGTAATATTGTTAGGCAAAATTGGTGTGTTGAATGGAGTAGTATCAATATCTGTTAGTTTAGAACAAAAACAAGCAACTATTGTCCATCGTCCAGGGGATATAAGTGCTTCAGATTTAGCATCAGCCATATCATCACTCAATAAAAAATTTAAAACTTCATTGAATGATCAGAAAGTCAATACTTCCAGTAATGTATTTAGTATGGTTATACCAGAAAATGAGTTAAGTAAAACATACCTGAACATCAAAGGTATGACGTGTGCATCGTGTGTGATTGCAATTGAAAAACATTGTCTTAAAATCAAAGGTATGATTTTGTAATGAGTAGATAAATATTTTGTTATAACATTTTTCTTTCTTTAGGTGTAAAAAGTATATTAGTTGCATTAATGGCAGCAAAAGCTGAAGTACAATATGATTCTACATTGATACAACCACAAGATATTGCTAATTCAGTTACTGATTTAGGTTTTCCTTGTAATGTTTTAACTGACACAAATTCACGAATTACTGAAGTTGAATTTAGAGTAAATATGATTTATAATTAATATATACCTACTATTTTATGAAAATATTTTCATAGTTAAATGATTTTTATATTAACATTTTTTTAACAAGTTTTTAATTCAGTTTTTTTTCTGTAATTCTTATTACTTAAATGTCTACTCTTTTAATCAGTTTATAAATCTAGTGTTATACATTTTCTTAGATTGGTGGTATGACATGTTCATCTTGTGTAAATAAAATTGAGTCAAATTTGATGAAATTGAAAGGAGTACAAACAGCAGTAGTTGCACTTACAACTCAAAAAGGAGTTATTACTTATGATTGTGATTTAATTAGTCCAAGAGATATTTCTGACAATATTTTGAGCCTAGGATTTACAGCTGATCTGATAAACAATAAAGATAGAGGGAATCGCAGTTATTTAAATCATAGGTATATATATATATATATATCGTTGGACCTGAAATGAAATGAATAATAAAATGTATTATTAATTTTGTTTTAGTGAAGAAATAAAAAAATGGCGCAATTCCTTTTTTATTTCACTTTTGTTTGGTGGTCCATGTATGATTGCTATGACCTATTTCATGATGGGTATGACTTTTAACTTCATAGATCATTCTTCAATGTGCTGTGTGATTCCTGGGCTTTCTCTTGAAAATTTGATTATGTTCTTGTTATCTACTCCTGTTCAGGTATTTTTAAAAGTCAATATAATATATCAAATAAAATATATGCATACAATACGATTCTACAATTCTAAATACAGTTCATTGGAGGTTGGCATTTCCATGTTCAAGCTTGGAAAGCCATTCGCCATTTTACCACCAACATGGATGTCCTTGTATCAGTTGCCACTACCATATCTTATGTGTATTCAGTCATTGTTGTACTTATTGCAATAACTGAAACACCGGCTAAACATACAAGCCCAATGACTTTCTTTGACACACCTCCTATGTTATTTGTTTTTATATCACTTGGCCGATGGATGGAACATATAGCTAAAGTAATAATTTAATATAATATTTCTAAAGTATTAATTAAAAAAGTCACAATTTTAGGGTAAAACTTCTGAAGCCCTTTCCAAATTATTATCCTTAAAAGCTACTGATGCTCTGTTAGTAACTATTACTGATGACTTTCAAATATTAACGGAAAAAGAAATCAATGTTGATCTTGTTAAACGTGGAGATATACTTAAGGTATTATTAAGATAGAATTACCTTTTACCATTACATTATCATATAAATTACATATTATTTAATTAAATTGTTTTTATATATATATATAATATATACTTAGGTATTGCCAAATACTAAAGTTCCAGTTGATGGAAAAGTTATTCATGGGCGATCAGCATGTGATGAATCGTTGATAACTGGAGAATCAATGCCAGTTAATAAAAAACCAAGTAAGTAAAAAAAATTAAAGTAATTAAAAGTAGTTTTATGACCTAATAGGACAAAATTATATTTTGTAGGCAGCTTAATAATAGGAGGTTCATTAAACCAGACAGCTCCTTTGCTAATGGTTGCTACTCACACTGGAGAAGCTACCATGTTAGCTCAAATTGTACGTCTAGTTGAACAAGCACAGACTTCTAAAGCTCCAATTCAACAGTTTGCTGATCGAATTGCTGGATATTTTGTTCCCGCTGTTGTAGCTATATCAACAATCACACTTTTGTCATGGCTTTTTATAGGCAGCTATTACACTGAATATTTGCCTATTTCGGTAAAGCCAAATTATAATAATTTTTTTTTTTAAATTTATATAATTCTTAATGTATAGGATAATGAAAAGTATGGGCCAGATGGATGGGAAAATGCTATTCAATACTCATTTCGATGTGCATTAAGTGTATTGGCTATTGCCTGTCCATGTGCGCTTGGTTTAGCCACTCCAACAGCTGTAATGGTTGGTACGGGTATTGGTGCTCTTAATGGCATATTGATTAAAGGTGCTGATGCCTTAGAAAATGCTCATAAGGTAATTTTTTAAAATTTAAACCTCATTAATTATTTCTACGTGTTTTAATTGTGTTCACTGTAGGTGAAATATGTAGTGTTTGATAAAACTGGAACAATAACATATGGCAAACCTACAGTAACAAAGATATGTTTATTCGTAGATGATATGATCTGTTCACTTGGTCTGTTATTGTCCATAGTTGCCAATGCTGAAGTCAGTAGTGAACATCCTTTAGCTTCTGGTGATTATTGACATTAATTACTATAATAATAGTTATAATTCTATGTTATCTTGTTTGTTATTATATTATTTAGCATTAGTGAAGTTTGTCAAGGAAATGTTCAATTGTGAAATTTCTGGAAAATGTGAACGCTTTCAATCTGTTGCTGGTTGTGGGATTAAGTGCTTAATTTCACACATTGATGACTTATTAAAAAATGGAGCACAGTCAGATTTTATTATGAACTACCAAAATCATATTAAGTAAATAAAATCATTGAAAATACATTTTATTTTTTATGTAAATGTTAAATCATGTTTTAAATCATTTAAAGTATAAAATCAATAAACTTCTAGTTTATTGTATAGATATCAAACAAAATTTAATAAATATAAATAAAGCTACTTTTCCTAATTTTATGTTCTTAAAGAATTTTGACATTTTTATGAAAATAGTTTTTTCATAAAGTATATACCCATGTGATACTAATAATATTATACATTGATATAATTTCTTTGTTTTAATTACAGAAGTGGATCAAATACTTCGATGTTTGATTTTAAAAATATAATAGTTGAAACAGTTATGAACAAATCCACTCAAGTTCAATCAATGCAATTACATAAATTGTTGGATATAAATGAAGAGAAAAAAGCAAATGAAACCAAATATGAAGTAGAGATTTTTGAAGATGTATAATATAAATATTTAAACTAAAAATTAACCAACAAATTATTGATTTCCAGGTGTTAATAGGGAATCGTGAATGGATGTTTCGAAATGGTGTTAATTTATCAAAAGAAGTCAATTTAAAAATGATAAGTGAAGAAACACTGGGTCATACAGCAATATTGTGCGCTGTTAATGGTATTATTAATACTATTAAAAACACAACAAAAACAACTTGGCACTAATTTTAATTTTGTTTCCAGGAATTTTAGTGGCAATGATCAGTGTTTCAGATATGATAAAACCTGAAGCACATTTAGCTATTTATACATTGATGAAACGTGGTTTTCAAGTGATGTTGTTGACTGGAGACAATAGGAAAACTGCTAGCGCAGTAGCCAAACAAGTTGGAATACATAAAGTGTTTGCTGAAGTATTGCCTTCACATAAAGTAGCCAAAATTAGAGCTTTACAAGACAAGGGTGTTCGAGTAGCAATGGTTGGCGATGGTGTTAATGACTCTCCGGCTCTAGCACAAGCTAATGTCGGTATTGCTATTTCTTCAGGCACAGACGTAGCTGTTGAAGCAGCAGATGTTGTATTAATGAGAGTAAGTGAATTATTAATTAAATGTTATGTAAATTATTTTATTAGTAATTTTATATTTTAATTTTATTAATAATTAACAGAATGATCTTCTGGATGTTGTTAGTTGTTTTGATTTATCCAGTAAAACTGTCCGGCGAATAAGGCTTAACTTTTTATTTGCTAGTATGTATAACTTGATCGGTATACCAATAGCTGCAGGTGTATTCAGTCCTTTTGGTATCACTTTACAAGTAATTAGATCACTTAAAAATAACTGAAAAACATTTAACTAAATCTGTAAAACATTTCAGCCTTGGATGGCAGCTGCTGCAATGGCATTAAGTTCAGTGTCTGTTGTTGGATCTTCACTTTTACTAAAACTGTTAGTATTTAAATAATTACACAGCTGTATGCTAATTTAATGTAATCGTTTAATTTTTAATCAGTTATATTAAACCAACGTCGGCCACTTTGACTACATCAGAATATTTGTCAAGATCTCAAACTGAACTGGACTCAATTTCCTTACATAGAGGGTTGGATGATATAGATCCATCAGTGATGATAAGAGCTTCAACATCATCAACTATATCAAAGTATGTGTCTAATATCTAAATTATACATATATTTCTTTCAAAATGGCTTTCACTGACTTATTTTTTGTTTTGCAAACATATTATGTTAAACATTTTTAAATTAAACTATCACTAATTTTATCATAGACTTTTAATGGGAAAAACAACTGTTTCTGAAGCTGAAAATCAGTTGTTAAGTTCCTATGAAGATGTTGAAGACCACGATATGGGAAATTATGTTGATATAACGAAAAGTATAAACGCTTGAGACTGTAACCAATTATGATTGACAATATTTTTTTTACATTAAATGCTTACAAATCTGACCAAAAATATTTTGTGAGTAAGTTAAGTCTTCCTTTTTCTCTTATATAGTTATAGAATTTTTTTATTAATGTTATTACATTTTTTTAAACTATGTTGTTTCCTCATACTATAAAGTTATTTTTAGTTTATCTATTCTATATTATACAAAACATATTTATGTTAATTTTTTTTTTTTATTAATTTTATAAAATGAATTATTTCATTACGAAATGTAAGTCCTCTATCAATTTCCTTATACTGTTATACGATTACTTTTAACCTTATACAATTTCATCATTGTTATTTTTTATAAATAAGCTATATTATAATACTACTGATACTATTTTACTCCAACAAGGGAGTAACATTGTATGATCAATAAATATTGGTTACCTATGTTTTGCATTATGTTAATATTTAAGCCAATACCTTTTAGAATTGTACATTTATATTTTATTATTTATATATTATATTTGCACAGGTATATTTATTTTTTATGTTTTGATGCTTTTGATAACATATATAATTAATTAATCATGCATTTAAATAATAATACCTCTGTAACTTATCCATTAAAATATATGTCAATAAAATATTACCATATTACACACATATATGCAATTAAAATAATTTACATTGATTATTACCTAATTAATATTAATAATAATATATAATCAATATTCTTATATAAAGCGTATTTTGCTTTTTGTCAACATAAGGACCTATTGCAAATATTTTTAAATCTTTCAAATAATATGTTTAGAATTAATTAAATAAAAGAAATATTAAAATTATCTAAAATAAACAATATAAATGAATAACATTTGTATTCATTAAGTAAGTATATATTATACATTTACAAATGTTGGTAGGAGGGATCACCTCAGTAAAATTAATTAATTTTTTTTGTTTATGATTTGTACTTGTGTAGTCAATTGTAGCTGTAATATTATCATATTTTTTACTAAATATTTGAGAATAAATTATATTTAATTTGAGCAATATCAGTTCAAATATGGGCCCCTTAGTCTTAGACTTAAATTGTAGGGGTCCATTTACTACATTTGTACGTAACTGTCAGTACTGCGGAACGAGGGTTTGTCCCCCGTCAGGTCAAAGTAACCAGCACAATGTTGTTGCGAAAATGGGTACAAAATTGTTGTCAGAAAAATGGTAACGACATTTTTGATATCCGAAAAAACACAAAAACGTCAACATTGAAAAAATGAATATGGATTGTTTTCATCCATTATAATCACAGAGCGGAATATAAATGTTATCCGATCATGTGGATGTTATATCTTAAATCGGCCTGCATTTTCAAACTAAAATATTATTTTTTACGGGAACAGACAGACTCAACGTTCTAGTTCTCTGATGATATCTGTGTTGTTATGTACAATAATAGAAACTATTATATGTTCAAAATTTTCTTCAGAGAATGTACTTTAATATTATCTATAGTAGCATAAATTAAATATATAGTAATCACATACTTAAATTAATGTGGTTATTATCATGTCATTGTTAACTTGTTTAATTTTAGAATTGTTAACTTTTACAATTTATGAAATTAAAACACAACAAATATGATAAAATTGAATTGTTCTACTGATAATTTTTATTATTTTGATGTTGGTAGCGTCATAGATATGGAAATTGTCTCTGCAACACTCTTATCAATTTTCTGACAACTATCAACTTCAGTACAATAACGTATTTATTAAAAACTATCTCTTTACTCTGTTCGGACATGTCTTGCCAGCCTGAGCATGCTGAGAGCAGCAGTGACGATGAAAAAAAAATAATGCAAAGGGACTGGAAGAAAAATCTCTCCGCAATTGAAAAGGTAATCACATTGATAATGACAGATTGTGAACGTTTTGGTTTCATTATAACGTATCGATTGTTTGTAGGTGGCGTTCAGGGAAGGAGCTACGGCTAATGACAGCAAATCTGATGTGATGTTCCAAATGGGATTTGACAACGGGTACAAAGACGGATTCAAGAACGGTTATAAGACTGGATCCTATAAGAGCACTATCATGTAAGTGGACTAAATCGATAATTTTTCTCCTTCAACATGCTCAAAACACATTTTTATTTTCGTTCATAGGTTGTTGGATAAATTCAACTTTTCAGAAAACAACGAAGAAAAATAAAATATTTATCAAAAAATGTACATTGTACCCATTCGAACTTTCAGTTAAGTACCCACCTGACAATGGGTGATGTTTTCAAGAGATTTGATAGCTGGCTGATATGTTGGTAAGCTAAGTGTGATATAGTTGTTGATATATGTTATGCAAAACAGTTTTAAATGAAAAAATATTTTTATTTGTTTTCGGCAAATTCATAAATTTACATTTTATAAAACTAATTTTAAACTCAAACTCTGTACCCGTTATCAAATGTATAAGTATATACTTACAATTATGTATGTATTTATTTTAAAAAATAAAAAAATAAATCCATTAATTAATTGTTCTTCCATCAAGCTTTGCGTTTTAATCTGTAATAATAATTATTTAAGTAGCAAAATGTATGTTTAAACCTATTTTAACCATGTAATTTTTTTAAATTTAAATCCGCGGTTTATTAAATTTAAATAAATTAGTCAAATAACCTTTGTATGATATAAATTATATTCTACATTGTTTTCTTAGTTATTTAGTTAGTTTTAATTTTATTTTTCATAATGCTTTAACCATCATTATCTTTTATGCCTAACTAATTAAAAATAATTTTCATAAATATTTTTTCCAATCGTCTAAATTACAGAAATATATAAAATAAGTAACTACTTTTAATAAATTCATTTTTATTTGCTTAATACCTCACAGAAGTTAAATTAATACAAATTTCAATAACAAAATGATGTAAATAAATATATTAAATATTTGTTATTTAATTATCCATAAAAATAATGTAATAAAACCAATATGATTATGTACAAGCCAATTCAAAGAAAACAATTTAATTAATCACTGTCATCATTGGGTGGGTTTAGTGGCTTATGACTTTCTTCATCTGAACCGAACGGTATATCTTCTTCAGAGTCGTTTACCATTGAGAATGCAGGATTATCTTTTGTTATTGAAGATTCTAATGATTCCAAAGAAAAAAAATGATTTTTAACTTTTGTACCTATATTTTTCTGACCATTTATATTTACCAAATCCTGGTTTTTTAGTTGGTGAGTAAACCGCAGCCAAAGTAAACACATAGAAATTGCAAATACCGTAAAAAGTCATAAACAATGCTGATGTCATGTATTCAGTGTTCAAATCGGCAGCGTATGAGTCTTCAATTAGTCCAAGCCCGTATTGCATGTGTGTAATGGTCGAACATATTGTAAGTGATATGACCATGGAGATCGTTACAAATTTCAGTCTAGCGTCTATCGATATTAAAAAAAAAAAAACATTAAAATACTGTACGAGTATATTTATACGCTTATTCATTGCTACATTGTTGAATATTGCTCACCGAAATATGGCATTGACCGTAAATCACTGTACGCTCTCAAAATCAAGCAAACCAAGTACACGATATATACAATAACGAAAATGCCTACACATGACTTGATGTTCTAAAACGATTGAAACGTAAGTGCATTACAATAGTTGGTACTTTCGTCGCTGTATGGTAGCGCATTTATCTTGTTCACTTACCGTGTACGCGTTAGAATCAATCTCGTAGCTAAACGCTGGATCTTCAACCTCGTTCATGCGACGGTATTTGGCCATTATAACTCCGCACAACCAAAACGGACCGACCAGAATTGCTTTAGGAAGATAAAACGCTAACGGTTTCCTCTCGTTCTGCAATGAAATTAATACGTGATCAATTGGTTGCTTATCGATGCATTCGAATGTTTTTGAAGACTATGTTTAGAATTCACGTACCTGGCGGAGTCCGTGGTAGATACAAAGCCAAAAGAATAAAATCGCGCAGATAAATGTCACTTGGAAGACGCCGTCTAGCATTCCAATCAGTTGATTGCTCGTGAGAAGTGTCAGTGGGAAGATGGGATCTAAAAACATGCGAGTGCTTATCTATTTGTGGTTATTTTCCATTTTGCGACTGTCTAACCCTACACGATTGAACCTCCGCATCGTACTTACCGTTAAATAATATTAACAGGGGTAATAAGACGACTGTCCATTTCTGTTCGTACGACCAATCTGCCACTGGAAATTTCCTCAGCGAATTCGCGAAACAACACTGAAAGCAATTCACGTCGTTTATCGTGTACATCGGACTAATTAAACGTGTAGGTAGTACTCACAAGTATTCCAAAAGCACTGAGCAAATAAATTAGCCTGAACCATATTTCCATTTGAGTGTAGCCGGGGTTATACGATTTGTACTGCAGGCAAAACCATAACGTATTTTTAACCGCAACATATTACATAGGTTTATCGTTTGCTGTTTATTTTTGTACGATGCTGAGCATTGACGAGTAAAATGGTTATTTTTTAACAAATTAAAGCTAATTTTTTACTAAAAATAACTTCCTACTTGACATGATAAAATTTTCCATATGTACTTATAGACCGGGTAATTAATTGTGTTCTTAGTATTTTTGAATCACGATAAGTTAATTTTCTTTCCTAATTAAAATATATAGATTGAAAATATAAAAATATACTTTTTTTGTACACATTTTTATTGTTCTTAATAAAAATTATCGGGGTTATAATTGTAGAAATTTTGAATGCATTATTTCTAAATTTAAAAAGACATAAAATAATGTTCATGAATATCATATTATTCAGTTTTTTTTTTTTTAATTAATTTGCTTTTTACTAGAATTAATTACAGCGAAGCGATTACAATATGATGATATGTTTAAAAAATTAAAAAAAATATACAAACAACAATGAATTACGTATTAACTTTAAATAAGAAAGCCAGCGGTATGAATTAATTGGATAAGAGAATGAATGATTGGAATGAGTCGAGAGTTGAGAAGAAGGTTAGAATCGGGAGAGATATAGCCAAAAGAAAGAAAAGAAAAAAGAATTTGTCTACTAGTGATGAGAGAAGAGCATATATTATTCAGTTAAAAAAAATAAATATTTAACCCAATTAAATTACTTATTTTTTCTGTTCAACATGTAAATGTTAAAAGTTAATAAAAGATAGAAATAACTCTTAATTTTTCTTTCATTTGTCTAGATTAATTGATTGAAGAAAATTATTATAATGCCCAGCATTTCTTTTAAAACGATATAATTTATCTAACTAAAGTAATGGCCGTTTTAAACACACTCACGTAAAATATGACTTCTTTTACTTGGTACTTCTGATGAAACGTTTCTAGATTGTAAAAATCCACCTTGAACGTATAATGAGTGTAATGGATATACGCTATGTGGGCTATAGGCACTTGGTTACATAACTGTTGTTTACACAGCAAATGTCTCGTTCTGCGAAAGATAATAACGACACGATTATTACAGTTCGATTTTGACTCGGATAAACGGTTTTTGATCACGTATCGTTCACCTGTTATTCTTGAACACTTTTACTATGTCGGTGGTCTCGTGTTGCGGAGTGATTCCTTTGATGGACATACTGATCTTGAAACTTTTATCATAAGTCTCATCTGTCAAAACAACAGCACATCGTAAAATCGCCAATGTCACCCCCCGTTAAACGCGTTCACGATTCGTGTGAAATCGACGCGGCCAATTTGCGGTTCACTTACCGTCCTTGTTGCCGGTCAACACAACCGCTATCAACCACAGCCTCTGGTTGTACACCGTCAGGCTGGGGGTCTTCATGACGTACGGGCCCTGCGGCAACGATCCGTTGGTGTGCTTCAGCACTTCGACCCCGCTCACTTTGCTCGTCAGCGTGATCGGCGGCCCTGTGGACAAACCGAACGTTTCCGGGATGATGAACTCAGAAAAAATCAAATCGCAGCAGGTTACGAAATGAATACTATGCTGGTCCGCGTACCTGTCAGTCCGATGAACAGCACCAGTCCCATGGCGGTCAACAGGACGACGAACACCATGACGAACTCCCGCTTGTTCATCGAGTATAGACGCATGTGCACGGACCTGTAGGGACACATAACATTGAAACAACGGGTTAGGGCACGAGAGCTTTGGGCGGCGACAGACGACCGGGGCCGCGGCACGTGCGCCGCGCGCCGTTATGAACTCCTCACCGTTCGCATCGGTCGTGATGGTAGGCCGGCGAGATGTACCGGTTGAAGTCGCTGAACAGGTCGTTGAACTGCGTCACCAGACTTCTGACCGCCATCAGGCAACCGCCGGTCGGCAACCCGTAACCGGTCTCGGAGCCCTCGATCGTGTCCATTACCGTTGGGCGGCCCGACGTGTGCTGTGTTCCGCGAGGCGTTGTTGCTCTTGGCCGCGGTGACGATCCGCGTTGCGTTCACCGGAATCGTCCTTCAGACGCGCGCCATTTCGCAGCACCGTGCACGATAATCCTTACGAACGTTCCGAGTGCACCTTGATGCCGCAGGGCTCGCAGCGACGCGCGCACATCGTCGCGATCCTGTGCCTTTGATCCTTTCGATCCCCCGAGCGCTGTAGCTGCAAAACCAGTAGTGGTTGTGCGTGTATCTACCCGCTGTTATTAACGTACTGCGTCGGTCCTATTCGAAGGTGATGTTTGGTAAACAGCTGTTATTGATCTAACCCTTCAAGCAGTAGCACCCAACCCCTTTCCACCGACGCTGCCCACTACTACCCCCACGCGCGCCGATCGACGGACACCAACGCGTGCGCAAGCTTTAGCGCACAACAATAATTTTTTTTCCATTCGTTTTTGGTAACCGTTTAGCTCGATACTCACATTACGCTGTATTACTTATCAACACAATAATAATAAATGATGATAAGTAATCAGAAATTAATATCATAAATATAAATAGACGTTTAAATGGCAAAGCTAACCTCCTGAATAATCGCAATAATAATAGTTACAACCTATTTTCAGAATTTGAACGGAGATCGTAGGAACAATATTTACAGGCGGAAAACGGTGCGCAGAAAACTCATACGATGGTACGCGTGAAATATTTTAATATAATTGTTATTTTTTTTATTATTTTAAACATTCAATATTATTTGATTTATTTAGTATCGACATTTTCATTCTTAAATCATTTATTACCATTCTTATTCATTATTAACCATTATAACAATGAAATTAAAAACTATATCTTTAACTTATTCTAGTTTTAAGCTGTTAAATTGTTATTTAATTGTACTGTTATCGCTCAACTAATTTACATACTTTACGTATATTTTGTAAATAGCCGTTTGACGTAAATAAAATAAAATAAATAAAAACTTTTGTTCATTTTTTGTTTTTATGATAGTGATTCTGGACTGTAAATTTTAGAGGAAAGAAGATATGATAAAAATGAAATATTAGCTGAGTGACAACGATCGGCAAGACTTTCTGACAAAAAAAAGCGTTGGATTAGTGTGAAATCGTGAGGTAGACAGGATATGTTTAATTTATAAGTAGCGTGGTGGAGGAATTTTCTTTGAATCATTTCAATCATGCTACGTGCATAAACAGAGAACGGGTCCCAGAGGATGATTCCATACTCAAGGATGGGACGGACTAAGGAACAGAAAAGGGTTTTTAGTGGAGTGAGCAAGTGAAAGTCTGTAGAAACACGATTTATGAAATCCTATTTATGATTTGTACTTTTGTAGCCAATTATAGTTTATATATTATCATATATCATGGTATAAACATTGATTAAATATACATAAAAATATATATAATATTATAATATATGTATATTTAATCAATGGTGTAAGTAAGCTACTGATATGAGACATGATTTAGTAAAGGGTGGTCACCCTGATTGACCCCCTCCAATAATCACTGTTTAATTAATTTTTAGTATACTAATATGTAGTCAGTTTTCGAATGGGCAGCGTAGTACGCCGAGTCTGTTTCTTAACCGTTTTCATGTTCCTTTAATTGTCGCTAGTTGTGCGTTAATAAAAATATTCATGTTTAGTATTGTTCTTGTTTGCTTGTGGCAGCTCAGGTCCTACAGGGACCGTTAAACTAAAATAGAGAGCGAAAGAGATATAATAAGTTTTCGCATGAAAATTTAGTTTTATTTTTTTCTATTACGAAAAGTCATTTATTTTTTACCAAAAATTATTATAAAAATACATTTAATTTGAGCAGCATCAGTTCAAATGTGGGCCCATTAATCTTAGAATTACATTTTAGGGCTCCATTTACAAAATTGCAGAGGGTTCCGAGCACACCCGACACCCCATACAAACAACAATAACTATTCAATAATTATAAAACATTTCAAACACGATACGTGATTAAAACAAACCGTTTATTCTATTTTTGATCAAATAATATACTATT